CTCTGACCCGGAGGCCCAGGGCCCGGGCCTCTCTCGGACCCCAGCTCCAGCCTCCTGGTGGCCTCTGTCTGAGCCGGCCGGGCTGCAGCCTGCGCCCTGCTGGGCAGGGAGGTCGCACAGGAGGCTCAGGCCCCGTCTCCCCACCTTGGCAGTTCGCTGTGGTCCAGGTGGACACCGCCCGGGAGCTGGAGGACGCCGACTTCCTCCTGGAGAGCTACCTGAACCTGGCTCGCAGCAACGAGAAGCTGTGCGAGTTCCCCAAGACCATCTCCTACTGCAAGACCTGCCTCGGCCTGCCCGGCACCGGGGTGGGCGCACGGCTCGGGGGCCAGGTCAGCCTGAGCATGGGCAACGCCTTCCTGGGCCTGAGCCTTTTCCAGAAGGCCCTGGAGAGCTTTGAGAAGGCCTTGCGCTACGCCCACAACAACGACGACACCATGCTGGAGTGCCGCGTGTGCTGCAGCCTGGGGAGCTTCTACGCGCAGGTCAAGGTGGGCCTGGAGAGGAGCGAGGCGCGGCCCTGGGGTTTCAGTGCCCAACACACAGTAGAAGCTCAGTAAACCTGGGGGTGAATAGCTGTAGCTGCTTATGGTCACGGGGTGGCTGGAGGAGATGAGGAACCTAGAGACGGACGCTCGATCCTGTCTTCCGAAACCAGGCGCCATTCACTGTGATGACAGGACTGGGGAGGGACAGGTATATTTTTAAACCTTTTTTATCTTGAAGAAATCTGGATGAGAAAATAGACCATTACAGCGAATTCTCATATAAGCACCACGTAGACTGAACAATTCTACCTGTTTTTGCCACTTTCTTTTGGGTGGTACTTGGGACTGAACCCAGAGCCTTTGCACTGAGCTACTTTTACTTTTACTTTTACTTTGAGATAGGATCTCTTTTAATTGCCCCGGCTGGGTTTGAACTTGGATTCCTCCTGCCTCAGCCTTCCAGAGTACTGAGATTATAGGTGTGCACATTGCAGCTGGTTATTTCTCAGTGTAATACAGAAACCAGAGGAACTGCCTTGTAGATGCTACGTCTCACATATTTGTTGTTTCCTCAAGGAGTCATTAATTTCTTCCTCTGTCCTTTATTTTTATTTTTATTTTGTTACCAGGGATTGAACTTGGGTCTCTGTGCTTGCAAGGCAGGCGGCGGAACCACTGAGCTAAATCCCCAGCCCCTGTCCTTTTTTTAGTATTATCTCTTTATTTGATTTTCTTTCTTTCCCAGTACCAGGGATCAAACTCAGGACCTTACACCTGCAAGGCAGGCAGCAAAGCCACTGAGCTAAATCCCCAGCTCCTCCTCTGTGTCCTTTGTCCCTTATGGCAGGGAAGGCGGAGTGACACGTGCCATGCTGTGCATGCCATGTCACATAAGGGTGGTTGGGGCGTGACAGCCCGATTCCTCCAAGTTTAGGGCCACATCTCCCTGGCCGGCAGCCTGACCGGCCCGCAGGCTAACACTGTGGTGTCCTGTGACTTCAGTTTGGCAGTGTTGCCTCCATGGTCTTGACACCCATTGATATCCCTGCCGGAATCAATCATTTAACTAGTGATGGATGGTGGTTTCCAAGTTCCTGGATTCCGTCCTCATCTATTAGCTGGGGTTTTCATCTAAAAGAAGACCTTTCTCTCCTCAGGTTACTTGGTTACTCTGGAATATAGTTCCTCAAGGGAAGGTGGAACACTGTCCTCTGTTCTCTAATTGCCACTTTGAGTGTTGGCATTGTGACCCCCCTCGCAGGTCATGCTCATTGTGCCACCTTCTCTCAAGATGTATCCTTGACAGTCTGGGCGTAGTGGCGCACGCCTGTAATCCCAGCACTCGGGAGGCTGAGGCAGGAGGATCGCTGTGAGTTCAAGACCAGCCTGGGCTACATAGTGAGTTCCAGGTCAGTCTCAACTACATAGTGAGACCCTGTCTCAAAAAACGAAAAAAACAAACAAACAAAAGATATATCCTTGACATCTTGTACTGTTTTCTTCTATTCATTCAGAGGTCAGCT